AACACACACCAACCGCTACCTCAACGCCCAATCCCACCACCACCCAGCACAGATAAACTCCGTGGCTAAAACATATATATAATTTCTTCTTACGTTCTAATCATTTTCATATGTTTTAATGTAAATTCATATAAACTTTAGGCTCAAAATTATGATTATATTATAAATATTGGTTTTTAAAATGTATCTACCATCATACACTGCAATCATCTTTCATAATCTCTGTCTTCTATATACTAGAAAGAAAGAAAAAGATAACATAGGGAACATTTGAATCCCCCAGATGCTCCAAATTAATTTGCATTTGACATGAAGCTTTTTCTTCTAGGAATTAGCTAACACAACAGAACACCATAATCCTGCTTTACTATGATGAATGAAATAGCTAGCTGATGAATTCTGAGATTAAAGAAGCATCAGAAATATTTTAAATTATATAAACAATGCCCATTCTCTCTCACTCACACACATAGACACTTCTGGTCATCCATCATGTCCCAGTTAATATTTCAAGTCGACAAACTAAAATAAACAATCCAATAAATTATGGGTATAAATAAACTAAATATTGGTAGTGTATAACTTTTTTATCCCTTAAGACTCAGACAAGAGTAAACAGCTGTATTCATAATTGCTTAGATGCTAATAGTCACAGAAAGCAGCAGAAACTAACTGACCACCCCCCCCCCAAAAAAAATGATCTCCAAAAAAAACCAAAAACAACCCTAAACAGATTGAGACCTGGACTAGTACCAATTTGAAATCTATCACCCACTCACTTCTCATAAACTAAACATTTTAGATGAGTCCATCAAGGATTTAATTTAATACAAAAGTGTATTTATGCAAAAAATTTAATTTTCCATTGTAAGATTTCAAAGCTACAGTAAACACTTAAAATGGCAAAGTGTGTTGAATAGATAGGAGAGAAGAATCAATCTGAATCTAAGATAATCATTATACTTTTGAGTTTAAAAGTTAAACTTCTTGAAAAGTTGATTTGTTTAAAATTAAGACTGACTTTAATTTTTAAATCAAGGCTTCTGTGCTGACAGAAGATTGAATGGAACTAAGGAAGTTGTTGGGAATCAGGATGCTCATTGATTATGGAATAAAGCATGCCAGGGTAATGATGCAGTAAACAGACAATAAGATATGCACTTGCATTTTGGCAAGTAGTATGGAAAAGGATTATTTCATTCTAAAGTATTCTCTCTCTCTCTCTCTCTCTCTCTCTCTCTCTCTCTCTCTCTCTCTCTCTCTCTCTCTCTCTCTCCCTCCCTCCCTCCCTCCCTCCCTCC